AGGCTGCGCACTCCCTGACCACTCTCAGTTTGTGGTGCATCTGGAAACAACGTAATGCAGTTGTATTCAGAGAATCAAGACGCACGGCACATGCAGTATCCATGGAAGTCAAGGATGTTTGCTCTCTTTGGTCCATGGCTGGCGGGAGGTTTCTCAGGCCCCTTTTAGATCGTGATTTGTTTTTTGAGTAATTAGCTTAGAGATCTCAACCACTACAGCGGTCTGCTCTAAGTGGTAGCGCCTCTCGCGCTTGTAAGGGGGGTCACCTGGCCCCCGAAAACTCTCACTTCTTAATCAATGTGCCGCGCAACCGGATCTTTCAAAAAAAAAGTAGAGATGGCCATTGACTGAGCACCTAAAATGGATTGCGAGCAACTGCAGCTCCAATTTCGAGAACATAATGAATGAGCTCATGGCTTGTCTATCCACATCAGCCAGGCTTCAACATGTATGTGTCAAAGATGATACGGTATTTACACTCACAGAGGCTTGTTGATGATGCTAACCCATGGATGAAGTTAATGGAAATTTATATGCTTGAATTTTAGTTTTTCGAATTAGTACATCCACATTGTAAAGGGGGGGAGAATGATTGAGACTATTATGTATACAGTCTGATCAGGCAGTCACAACTTTATTAGAGAAACAAGATCTACAATGTTGCAGTGTTTAGGCCTATCAGAAAATGGCCACCTTACAAAAGGCACTGGAAAATGTGCAACGTAACCGCCGCTGGTTTTCCTTACAAGAAAAGGTATCATGTTTTTAACATGCCTCTTCTCCTTTTTACTAGTTTCAGCCAAAATGTTCCCAAAAAAAAATGAATCCAATTTTGAGCATTATACCATGGGACGGACATATATGATCGATCCCATAGTTAGTTTATTCTCATTTCAGGTCTTGAACCACAGTTTATCTCCATAGTCTTCTTGGAAGATTTTATCACCGTCTCTGGAATCCTGGATCACTACAAGCTGCTCCAATAGTTGTTGGAATGTTGGGTTTGTCAGGTTCTTTGATATAACACATACTTATATCTTGGTACATGCTCGATTTACCATAACACATGTTTTTTTTACTTTACGTTTTTATATTTTTCTACTTTACTTTGTTTGAATGTCATAATAGGAAATTAAAAAAAAAAACATGTAAGGCTAACTGGCTAAGCCTTAGGGACTACAGAATGTCATAGTAGTAAATTATTTGGGTTTATACAATCATGTACAATTGAAAACTTATTAGTTTATTGCCTTATTTTCACTTACCTTTCATCACCATGATGCCGCCATAATCCTCTGTATCTAAGTTCTATCTATATGTTATATCTCATCTCTTTGGTCCAAGAACGGGCCACTCTCGTTTCCATCTGTCGCGAAACTTTTTAGTGTGTAATTACAATCACATGCGAGCTTAGCTGGTAAGGGCTTTGGTAACCATGGGATTACCGTAGCCGTTTAGTGTTGTAACAAAACTCTATTCTCGCTTAATGAAAAACGTGCCTAGGCACGATCGCGAAAAAAACATGATATATCTCATCTCTCTTGTTTTTTTTTCCTCCCTTGTTTTTTTTAAAGAAAGTGGCGGGAGGCCTTGCATTGAAGTAAGGTAAATAGAAGGTTTTGCCTCAATGGCAGACACACAACCACAAGCTCTTGAGAGGGCCATCCCGCAAAGAAACGAAAAAACAAGATGAAAGCCCCCAAAACTAAACTAGTTTTGAAAAGCACGTTGTCGTTGATCATAAGAGGCGTGGAACAATCATTTTGGAAAATCCGTCGATTCCTTTCGTTCACAAATTCCACATGACATAGATGCATAATCCGTTGAAGTGTCGTCTTTTATCATTTGGTATTATTGTCTTTAGCGCAGCTTGCCACCAATCTTTTGGTATTGTCCTCTTCTCCCTTGTCATTTTCCGTTTGGGCTCTGAATGCTGTTCCTTTGGAAGGTAGAACAATAATGTCCCTTCTGCAGAATTTACCAGTTATTGAAATGTAAAGTGGGATCCTGGGACTATCCTGTGGTTTAGTCACGTGCACAGTGCACTGGAGATAGCTGCTGTGAAAGCATTATCTTAATATATGGCTTAGGCTCATTGCCATTACTTAACAATAGTTTCCATCCTCCATGGGTACTTCTCTATTATGATGTATATATGTAAGTTTCATTATTGATCTTGACCAATACGATACATATAGTGATTTTTTAATCGAAAACAGTAGGGGAAGTCCCTGCTGTTGCAAATATTTATTTAAGAAAAGAAGAGGCAAAAAAGAAAACAGGTTCCCTTGAGAAAATAGAAGAACTAAATATAATGATTATTGCACTGATACATATAATGGTTATTGTCCTGATGAATTCATTTTCTCACAGCAGTTGTTTAACCTCACTTGTATTAGACCCATTGTCCACAAATTCAATAACTGTGACATTTGAGGGTGCTGAATTTGCACAGCTATTGGTCAGGTTTGGACAGGTGACCCCTAATTTATAAGTTTGTGCATAATTTAAGATTAAAACCTTTTTTAGTGTAAAACTTTTTTTAAGATTAAAACTTTTGAGCAAGGGCCAGCCCAAAATGGCATTAAACCACTCATAATCAACTGTCAATGTAGAATTGGCACTCATAAGACATAGATTTTTAAAGCGACAGTTCATCAGGGGAAAGGGCGTCGAGATCAGACAGAAATGGTTCTTAATGTTCTTGCTGCATCTTTTGCCTAGTCGGTGGTCATAGGGATAAGTTTTTCGCCAAAAGAAGACTTGCCCCCTGATAGCCTTTTGGATTGCTGCTTTGATTTGATGATTTCTAAACCAGCCAGGTATCCATGTTGTCCTGCTTTCCCTGACTCAAAGTCAGGTTTCAGGGGCGCAGCCCTGATAGTAGTAGTGTCCTAACCGGCAAATTAGATGGCTGCCTTGTGCGTGTGCCGTTGGTAGACAGGTTTTACCATTATCAGTAATGCCATATGATTGATGTATTTGATATATATATATATATATATATATATATATATATATATATATATATATAGAACTACTACATGTAGCTGATACAAAATAACTTATTCTGTAGCCACTTTGAGTTACGATAATTACTATATTAATTTATGAGATTATAATAACTTCTTACTAAGTGGTTTACCATAATGTTACGGTAAATATCCCCATGTATTATAGTAACCCAACTATCGTAAATTAGTATATAAAATTATCGTAAATAGAGGTGACTATATAATAACTTATTTTGTAGCTGGCTACTAAATATACTCTCCCTCTCTCTCTCTCTCTATATATATATATATATATTCAACAACACCAACAACAACATAGCATTTTAGTCTCAAGCAAGTTAGGGTATGTTAGAGTTGAAACCCACCAAGATCCCCAAGTCACGGTTCATGCACTTCAATAGCTACTTTCCAAGTACTCATATTCAAACATATATCTCTGGGTATATCCCAAGCTTTCAAATCTATTTTTATTGTCTCTCCCATGTCAATTTCGGTCTTCCTCTACCTCTCCTCATATTATTAACTTGGCTTAGGACTTCACAATGCACTGGTGCATCTGGAGGTCTCCTTTAGACATAGCCAAACCACCTCAACCGATGTTGGACAAGCTTTTCTTCAATTGGTGCTACATCTAGGCGATCACATATATCATCGTTCCGAACTCGGTTCATTCTTATGTGACCGCAAATCCATCGCAGCATACGTATTTCTGCAACACTCAGTTGTTGAACATGTCGAATCTTTATAGGCCAACATTCTGCTCCATACAACATAACCGGTCTAATCACCGTTCTATAGAACTTGCCTTTTTACCTTTTGTGGTATCCTCTTGTCACAGAGAATGTCAGAAGCTTGTCGCCACTTGATCCACCCTACTTTGATTCTATGGCTAACGTCCACATCAATATCTCCATCCCTCTGAAGCATCGATCCCAGATACCGAAAGGTATTCTTCTTAGACACTACTTGACCTTCCAAACTCACATCTCTCTCCTCCTGTACAACTCCGTCAAAGTCGCATCTCATGTATTCGGTTTTAGTTCTGCTCAATCTAAAACCTTTAGACTCAAGGGTCTGCCGTCATAACTTTAGTTTCCAATTTACTCCCACCTAGCTTTCGTCCACTAAACTACATCATCAACGAACAACATACACCAAGGAATATCCCCTTGTATGTTCCTGATAACCTCATCCATTACCAAGGCAAAGAGATACGGGCTTAAGGCTGACTCTTAATGAAGTCCAATTTTAATCGGAAAGTAATCTGTGTTACCATCGTTTGTTCGAACACTAGTCACAACATTGTTGTACATGTCCTTGATGAGGGTCACGTACTTTGATATAACTTTATATTTGTCCAAAGATCACCACATAATATTTCTTGGTATTTTGTCATAAGCCTTCTCCAAGTCAATAAAACCCAAGTGGAAGTCCTTCTTCTGCTCTCTAATCCGCTCCATAATCTGTCTTATTAAGAAGATTGCTTCTGTGGTTGACCTTCCAGACATGAAACCAAATTGGTTTGTTGATATCTGCGTCGTTCCTCGCAGGCGCTGCTCGATGACTCTCTCCCATAACTTCATAGTGTGGCTCATCAACTTAATTCCCCGATAATTAGTACAACTTTGGATATCTCCCTTGTTCTTGTAGATTGGTAGCAATATATTTCTTCTTCACTCCTCAGACATCTTGTTCGATCGAAAGATATCGTTGAACATCTTGGTTAGTCATAGTATAGCTATATCCTGAGACATCTCCTCACAAATAGCCAGCAATGCAAGGCTAACGCTAAGGGACTACAGAGTACAGCTCCTATCATGTACCGAAACAACAGAAGGAGGCAATTCGTTCCTCTTATTCATCGATCCATCGACTCGAGGCTATAAAGAAGAGAAGAGGAAAGCTTTACCACCCAATGGAGAAAGAGAAATTGGCATCTCCAAAACCAAAACCCTTGATAAACCTCTCCAGAATCCAGATCAGTCATCAGTCCCACTCGTCGCTAATCATGTTGTCCTCATCCTTGGGCGGCCAGACAACGATAACCACCTCGGCCGCCGCCGCGGCTATGCCCTGCTCAGCCAGCTTCTTCCCCCTCTCCACCACAAGCTGGCCTTCCTTCTCGAGGACGTATATCCCCTGCTCCACGATCTCCTTCTTGCTCCGATTGGCAATGACCAGCATCGGCTCCTCATCGGCCGTCCGCCACGGCAGCCTCCGGCCGTCAGCCAGCTCGATAACGACGGCGTCGTCCGCTGCCTCGGCCACGGGGCCCCATCCGGGCACCACGGCCCATCGCGCCCACGCCCTGTCCACCTCCACGATGCCAAGGTCCACGTCCGTCTTGGTCCGCCTGGGCGCCGACTCCATGGCTGCGACGCCGTCTGTCTCCCTGACCACCGACAGGATGAAGACGGTGGTCGCCTTGGAAAACCTCTCGCCAGATTGGAGCCGCACCACCGTGACGGGCGGGCGCGAGGCGGCAGGTCCTCCTCCTCCACCACCTCCTCCCTGCGCGCCTTCTTCTGGCGCTCCGGCTCAAGCTCCACGCGCGCACGCTGCCGGACTCGGTCTCCACCACCTCGGCGTGAGCTCCAGCTCTGCGATGCGGTCCTCCACGCCGATGGCCTCCCACGATCGGGCGGAACCCGCAGCGTAGGCGAGGCGATCGGTGGGGAGTCCCTCGCAAATGCCTCCCAACCTTTCTCCCCGCGGCCGTGGGGAAGTATCTTCATGGCGCTGGCCAGCCTCCCTGACGCCTTGGGCTCGAGCTCATGGTCGATGGCGCGTGCTGGCGGTGTCGGGCGAAATGGCTCGCGTTCAGAAGCGGAGCTCATACAGGAGGTCAGGCCCGCCGAGGAGTCAATCTGAGGAGTAGGTCGGGCGGGAACGCGGCGCCCTGTCGCCGAGGAGCGAGTGGCGGACACAGGGACGCGACGACAAGCGATTCGCTCGACGCCCGAGATGCCTGTGGGCCTCTGGATGGAGGACGGGTCGGAAGCCGCCCCGGAGAGCGAGGAGATGAGGGGCGCGATTGCGTTATGTGCCCATCCGGTCGCGGAGGATCTGGAGGCGCTGGGTGAGGTCGAGGTTGCGGAGGTTGGGCGGGAGAGGGGACGGTGGCGGGTGGAACGGCTGGTAGAGCTGGCCCGGCGGTACCATCGGGGGGAGCGGCGGCGGTGTTGCCGTCTCCCGGGAGCAGGATGGCGCTCGCGGCGATGTGGCTGGCGCGACGGCGGCGCCACACGGGAGGAGCGGCGGCGGCGGCGCCGCGGGGCGTGCGCTGGTGGCGCGGCGTGGTGGTGGACGCGGCGGGGTGGGGGTGGGAGAGTGACAGCATGGTGGCGATAAGGGGATCGGGGAGGGGAGAAGAGGAATGAGAGGGTCAGGGAAGCACGGAACGAAACCCAGGGCTTATCCTTTGTCCTAGCCTGCGCCACACGGGCGCGCATTTCCTGTTTTGCCTTCCGTTTCCCTTTCGGTCAGGTACTTTCCGTTTGTCCCGTTTGCTGTCGCGCTCGCTTCTGAATCCAGAACTTCTCATCCTTCTCCTTTCTCTCCGCTCATCGGGCGCTTCTCTTCTTCAAGGCGGAGGCGGAAGCTCCGTCGACGCCGCCGCAGCCATGATTCGTGCACCACCTACTGATCTGCACCGTCGATGTGGAGCGGAGGGGGCATATTCCAGCAGGCTTAGGGACGAGTCAAGTGCATGTCCAGATTCAGAGGAGCGAGAGGCCCCGGCAAATCCGGCGCCCGTCCAGAGTACAGATCCTGCCGCTCCAGTCACGAGATCGCCGTCTCGCCGGTCTTCTCGCCGCGTTGTCTAATGGTAAGTGCAACATTGAGTACGTAGGATAGGAAAGGGTTTTTAAATTTAATTTTTTTAAATTTACTGTGCAAAGGGTTTTAAAATATGTGAAAGCTAGATATGCACAAAGTCATTAAATATATATTTGAAAGTTTTGAATTTTCGTATATAAAAATACAGATATGCAGCTTGATAGATGTACTGTAGCATGTAGGAAGTTTTTCTGAATATATAATTTTGGAAGTTTCTGAATATACCCATATAATGAAATTTTTTTACACGGTAGACATCAATAGCACATGCGTGGAATTCCCATTCTATTTTGATATAACTTTTATTTTAACTGACGTGCAGAGTTTAACTTTATATATTTTATTTATTTATCTTGTCTCATTGTTTTTTAAGGGTATTAATGAAAACTACTATAACTGAAAATGCAAGCTGCATGTCCTTTCTATTAGCCACAAACAAAGACTTATATATCTCGATAAATGAGATGTACTCTATTCTAGTGCTAGTATTAGTGTAGAAATAACTTTGAATTTCTATTTTATATATCATTTTTTATTTTTCTGTATATATTAAATCGAGTAATCACATACAAAATTTGCTGGAGCGTAAGACTATCAATTATGTATGTACTGGTTCTGCATCCACATAGAAGTAAATCATCCCCCGTCCGTTTCAACTCCCACATTTGCATGGGTTAAATCTAGACAGGAGAAACATGAAATGAAAAATAGATTGATTGGGTTGCATGGGCTGAAGCTAGACATGAGAAGTAAGAAAAAAAGTCTGCTTCGTGACCCATACATCACACGCGCGCCAAACCACCTCTAGCGTGTCAGGAATATGCGCGCTCCTCAGGGTTCGCCACGAGCGTCACTGTCGACTGTTGGCGCACACTCGGCTTGAGCAAATAGTAGGTATCCTAGATAACATAACACAGATCACACGATAAGATAACGATACTGCGAAAGTTATATCTTCAAACTTTCAAAGCTGATTCACTGACTCCAAAAGTCCAAAAGCCCAGATAAAGCTTATGTATAGATACCTCAAGTAGTAAAAAGCAGGATCTTACAGGAACATCGGCAGCAAAGGAACTTGCTACAGTACATCAAAATGATAGAGCAGCAGCTAAAAGGGTGCATGATTACATTATTGCAAGTGATGACGCAGTTTTTATTGTAGTAGACTATTGTGGTCCGAATATTAATAGTAATAATCTACAGGAAACTTGGTAGTTCTAGCAAAATTTTGATAGTACGTAAAACCTGACCATTTCGAGTTCCATACATGGAATCAGGTGGTAGCCTCTACAGACAGCAATTGTCCAAGAGCTTAGTAGTTTTTTGTAATCTTTTTCACGGAGTACGTCCCCAGGGCAGCACTGACGACGCCCAATATTATGATACCAATGCTTGCGATTACCTGAAATTGGAGATTGAGAAGTAATCATATCAACGACCAAGTTTGCAAATTGCCACTGTAAAGAATACTTCCACCATGTTTTCAACAAAAAAAAAAAGAATGTTTCCACCAGGCAGTATCATTAGAGATCTCCAGATGAGAGCCCGATATGCGGAGACGAAAATTCATTTTGTGATAACTGCAATTTGACGATCATTTACCTGTGAACAAGTTGCTTTATTCTGTGCGATCTTCAGGAAACACAGGGCTGGCATTATGACTGCCTGTAATTATGAATAGTATACACCTGTTAACCACATTCTATAATAAAATATGATTAATCTATCATCCATGCCTCTTTCTTAGGTAACAAATGAAATAACAATGCATGGTATATCAGAAAGTTTTGTCTGAAAAGTTTAAAAAGGGCGTACCCAGTGCAGAGAGCTCCCGCTCTGTGCGGGGTCTGGAGAAGGGTGTCAGTGGCAAGCCTTACCTTCGCTTGTGCAATGCGAGGAGACCGCGACTCGAACCCGTGACCTTCTGGTCAGAGGTTGTAGACTGTTAATTGTAATAATGAAACAATGCATGGTACATCAGGGGGGAAAACTAAACAAGACTACTATTCTCGTGAAGCAGTTCAATTTTTTCAGAAGAATGATGTACCTGCAAGTGTCAATATTGGTCTTGTAATTCTAGCATAGCAACCTTTATCTCAACAAGTTTGCCACTTCGTAGTCTCACAATACAGCTCAGTACAGTGATAACAAGTTAAATGAAAAAAAAACTTACCACAAGTATACTAAGAAGAGATCCAATGAGAGCCATCACAAGACCTGAAACACGAAGTAGATAGTTCAGAGATGCAGGGGTTCAATCAAGACAGTGAACTGAGTTGTGGGATACAATATACAGAAAATTTTTAGGATAACAGAAGTAGACAGTGATGTGGGATGCACAATTCAGAAAATGGGTGCATGCTTACCAAAGAACGGCAGAAGGCAAGCAATGCAGACAGTTGATGCAACAAGGGCAGTCCTCACTATAATAGAGCATGATGTTTCGTTCATAAAACCTTCAGGACGCAGCTCTTCGAAACTTCGAGCTAATGGGTTTAACAACAAGGCATATCTGGTTGTAATTAAGGATGAAGCAATTCCACAAAGAGTTAGAATAATTAAAATCATGACACTAAAATCAAAATGTTATCCAAGAAAACTGAAATTTCGAGGTTTTGATGATAAGGATACTTGGTGAAAGGGTTGATCACCCGAAAACATACAAAAACATTACTGAGTAATATTATAGAAAATTCGTTTTAAAAATAATATAAAGAAAAAAATTCTAGAATTTGAGAAAGTAAACTTAGGTCAGGATGCAGTTGTTATCGTGGTCCATAGTGCAACTTTTGAGGCAACCGAATGTTTTGGAAGGTTTAAAGTGATTTGTGATAAAGTGTTCTCTCCAAACATTAGAAAGCCAATGACAGCAAAAGAGCCATATATTACTGTGCATATTGCAAAAGTGCAAAACACCAGCACACCTTGAGAAAAATCATTATTCCATAATAAGGTAAACCAAAACAGGAATCAGGCCAAACATACCATATGAACAGTGCCTTAGAGAACTTAGAGCGATCAAGACATTGACCGGTAGATATTTGGAAATACTGAATGCCCGGAGTAGCAAAATCCATAAATACCAATAGCAAAGGGCATGCCACTCCAGTTTACTACCTTCCCAGTTGAATGGAAGCCTATACCATCAGTAGCACCAACTAAACCAATGGACAGGAATACGAGAAGAGTTGCAATCACACCACCCGCTGCATGCATAATAATAATTAGTTAAAACCATGCAAAGTCACTTGATCCTTATTTTAAGATTACTAATAATACTTTGCAAAAATAAACAAACTATCATCAATCGGACCTGAAACGACCATATGTGTCCATGCATAACAATAATTAGTTAAAACCATGCACACATTTTGCAGCTTGCAGGTTGCAGCCATGAAACGACCATCTGTGTCCATAGGAAGCAACAAACAAGAGATGGTAAAGCCTGCACTCTATAGTATGAAATCACGAATAGCAAACTTTAATGTAAGTATTACATCAATTCTCAAATGCAATATAAAATATGAGAAATAATAGAACCTCACATATGTCATCATCTAACCAGGTGGCATGATCCAGGCTCCTCATAATCACGTGCATCATCTCCCCACCAAGAACCATGGTAAACCTAGAAAAATACTATTTTGATCAAAACTTATATTATCTTTTACTAACTTAAATCACTGCATCAATAACTTTGTACTATTGCTATATGTTTAGCTAGACACTAAAGGTAGCCAGGATCAAAATAGGCATATTTCCAGGCTCCATTCAAGAATAATAAATATGTTTGTACCATGAAGCAAGATTGAATTGTACATAACTTGATATGTAGCTAATATAGGACTAACTCTATCTTAGTTAACCAACCTATGAGACAAATCAGTAAAGGAAACATGAAGTCAGTGTAAATCTATAGCAATCAATCAATTTAACTCTCTTTTTTTACATAGATTGTTTCATGTCCATGGATGCATCAGACCTAACAAAACAAAATAATAGACAAGCGACTATAAACCTTTGAGTTAGCCATAAGTATGTCAAAGTCCAAAAATTATGTTATTCCTTTGCAAGAGACCATTTAACATGACTTATGCACGGGAATAGACTTAGAACAATAGTAAAAGTCATACAGGCCCTTAGACTTCAGTTCAGAGGCAATGCTTCATAACATATGCTGCCTTCCTACCAAAAACAGATATGCAATTTCATTTTCTCTATGTGCTTCCTATTGACAGATCTATTACACATACTCATTTGAGGCATAATCAATGGTTTTTCATCACGAAGTTTTATCATGAAAGCGATATTGCCGATGAGCAAGGCAAAAGTTAAAGGAATAAAATCTCTAGCTGTATAGCACAACGATATCTTCAATCCCTTCTTTTGTATCTTGAGATTAAATATTAGCACAAAACAATATACATATGATTTTATTAGATTTTTCTTGGTTCACAAGAAGGGGTTAAAAAGAAATTGAAAAGTAGCTTAGCAGAAAATATGGACGGCATACGAGGAACACAAAACCAGTGATGCAGCACAGGCATGGATCAGAACCAAAATCATTCCATACTACACTATTTCACAGATGAATATTCGAGCAACCAGAATGCGTTGAAGGAAAATGTATAGCAACAAATTGAAATTGTAGGTATTTGTGCATACAGGCCAACATCAGAGCAATAAACAATGATGGATTATCTATATCTATTACCTTTTAGTTATCCACACCTGCTTCATCTTCAAGTTTTAGAAGTTCTGCAGCCAACAATAATCAATCAAAGGCAACTAGCTCCTTGATTGGAAGCGGTGCAGAAAGGGATGGGAAGTTCACTAATCAGTAGAATTCCTACAAGTAACTTTTATATGCAAATGAAAAGGCAGTAAGATAGGAAAAATTACTGAAAAGAAGAAACGCACCGATCTAGATCATCTTACCGAAGGCCCTAGCTGCCTCAAACCGCAACCGCAACCGCATGCTGCTGCACCCGATTCACATACACACACGCGTAGAAATAAAGATGAAGAAATGAACCAACAAAATCCCCGGAACGAAAAGGGAAAAAGAACCAAAGCCGAGTCAACCATCTTCTGGAGAGGCCGACGCCCTGAAGGCCTTGCGAATCCGGCAGGTCGAAAAGGTCCGGGAACAAATATCCCAGAACGAAAAGGGAAAAAAGAACCAAAGCTGAGTCCACCATCTTCTGGAGAGGCCGACGCCTCGAAGGCCTTGCGAATCCGGCAGGGTCGAAAAGGTCCGGCGCAGAGGTTGAGCGGCACGGCGGTGAACTGTGTGGTGGCACCATCCTGGAGGAAGAGCACGGGGTGGGTGTCAGGCACCACGAGGAGCGTGCGCAGGCCAGATTCGGACTCCTTCTCGTGGTGGCTATCACCATGATTCTCATCCCGGAGCCATGGTAGTCCACCAAGCACCAGCTGTGCCTTCGCCCACTTGAGGATGGAGGGCGGGAGCGCTGCTGGCTTCGCCGCGAAGTTGTAGACGCCATGTTCCACCTCTCCCTCCGTTGGCGGAGGACGGGAATGGGGCCGCGGCGCGATGGGGCAGAGCAGCGGAGGCGGCGTGTGGAGAAGATGGGGGAGGATCATGGGCGTGCGACGGTTCTGCCGGCGCCGCGCGTGGTGAAGGAAGGACGGGCGGGCCTCCGCCGGTCGAGACGGAGGGGCTGTGCGTGCCACCGTCAGCCGGGAGGGGACCGGTGCAGGGGAGCGATGATGATAGCGGCGGTGTCGGGGCGTGGTGGCGGTACCCATCCGCTTTAGTCGGCGCTCGTCGAGGCGCAGCGGCGATTCTTGCCCCCGCGTCGAGGCTCCGTGCGGTCGTGTCAGTCGTCGTCGAGGTGGCTCGTCCGTCCTGCCGAAGACCCTCGGGCGGCGTGTCCCAGAGATGGCACGGCCTTGACGCGTCGCAGGCTACGACGCTCGCATCGGCGAGAAGGGCCATGGAGGCGTGGCGGAGCACGTGCTGGATGGCGGCGCAATGGGGCAGGGGCGGGGCGTGCCGCGGGCGCGATGGGCAATGCCTGACCAGGGCCGAGCAGCTCACGGTTTGGGGAGCGGGGAGGTGGCGCGGATTGGGGGAGCGGGGAGGCGGCGCTGATTGGTGGTGATTGGGGAGCGGTGACACGGAGAAGATCTTGTTCCGTCGGGTGGAGGATCGCACGTCGAACGGCAGAGCGACGAGCCTAAATTTTTGTCACACCATAGGGTTCTCTTACCTTTGTTCTTTTTAGTTTTACTGAAGTAGGAGATAGATATAGAGATTGATATAAATTTGTATCATTCATTTACCGTATTTTCCAATGCAAATTATTTGATTTGACCGGTTTATTCTATGCTATGGGATCAATCAAGATCAGGATGCAGTCCACATCCACTTCCAGCAATCAGGTGGCGCCTGAGCACACGCAGCACGTCGAGCAGGCCGACCACGCCCACCAGCTCTTGCTCCTCCACCACCCACACGTGCGTCGCTCGGTGCACCATGGCCTGCACCATCACCGCCACCAGCGAGCTTCCCCTGTGGCACACGGTTGCCTCCTCTGCCCGTCGCCTCCCCAAGAACGAGCTGCCGTGCCTGTGCGGCGATGCTATAATCAGCTTCCTCCCGTTGGCGTCGACGATGTCCTCGTCCTCGTCGGACGACGAGGAGGATGACGACGAAGCAGAGGAGGAAGACGACGACGACGCGTCGGTGGTACCACCATAGAGCAAGTCGAGCATTCCGAGGAGGTTGCGGCGACGGAGGCGGGAACGGACGGCGTGGAGCGTGGCCGCGGGCGGGGCGCCGCCCCAGTCCAAGAACGACACGAGCTGGCCAGCCGAGAGCGCCGCGATGGCCGCCACGGACGCGACGCCGCCGGAGCAGAGCGCGGACGGCGAGATCTCGCCGACGAGGCGGCGGGCGGGGGAGCCGGTGCCGGTGCCGGCGACGACTGCTACCGAGGCGTGGGACGCCAGCGCGGCGCGGAGCAGCGGCACGGCGGAGAGCGCGCTGTCCCCGGCGGCGACGGCGAGCGCGGCGGGGCGGACGGCGCCGAGCTCGGTGACGGACCGCGAGGCCGTGGCGGAGAAGACGCCGACGGGCTCAGGAGGAAGCGCACCACGTCCTCCACCGTGAGCCAGCACAGCTTGCCACGGTCGGCGGCGGCGCGCCACCTCTCCCTGATCGGCACGGCGAGCGTGTGCGCGCCGCCCAGGAACGCGTCCACCGCCTCCAGCACGCTGCCGATAGACACCAAACGAGATCACCAAAACACTCACTGGTCCCGGTCCGGAATTTTTTATGTACACGTGCAAGTGCGGCAGGCAACCTCGCGTCCGGGTCGATGCGGCGGTCCGGCAGCAGCGCGCCGGCGGCGAGCAGGTCAGAGAGCGTGGCCTGGAGCGCGGCGGCCGGGGACGCCAGGTGGGCGGCGTCAGCGCAGAGGAAGAGCAGCGCGTCGGCCATGCACACCCGGCCGGCCACGTCGGACCCCTCGCTGCCGTCCCACACCGCGACGGCCGCGTCCCCGCCGCCGCCGCCGGCGGCCTCGAGGTCCGCGATGGCGTCGGCGACTGTGGACTGCGGCGGCAGCCACCTCAACGCCGGCTTGCCTATGCAGAGGTCCGACACCTTGTGCGCCTGGAGCAGCCGCTCCGCCATGCGTGCGCGTGCATGCACCGGTGCGGTGCACGACGTACAGTGAGCCGGGACTGGGAGCGGGCGGTGGGTGATGGGAAAATAAAAGGAAGAAGCTAGCGTCGCTCGATCAGCGGCGGCGGTGGATGGTGGTGAGTGGTGACTGGTGCGAGGTGGCGGGCTGCAGCTCAGAGAAGAATAACGCAGGCGCGATAAATATGCAGGAGGTGTTTGATGTGTGTGCCTGCCATGGCAATGGCAGTGGCAGTCTGGCAGTGGGTTGTGGAATGTGGCCGTGGCCGGTGAGGACATAGGACAGCGATGGAGGGGGAGACGTGGCAAGGCAGCACATGATGATGAAAACCTGAAAAAAGATAAACTTTGTGCCCGTTACTGTCCTTTCTCTGCTGCTTTTAGCTACTCCGGTTTATAACTGATGTCTGGTTTTCTTTTGGTTATATCCTGCTGGCTTTATTATACGAGTATTTATTTGATCATGGAATGCAACACGTACACGTAATCGTGGGCACTCTCTGCTGAACAACTGACTAACTGTCGGCCTGTTCGCTTGCTCGTAAACGATCGTAAATTTTCAGCCGAAAACAGTGTTTTTCTCTCACACCAAACCAGTCAGCAGTAAATAATCCACGATACGATACGGCCTCCCGAACAGGCTGAAAGTCGCTCGATCGTTCCAGGGCTTCGGGCCATACATGACACTTTGCTGGATAACCGTCAGACGTTAAAGTTGGTAAACAATAGGTTTCTGATTGTCACGCGAGAGAAGAAGGGCGGCAACGTGGCTGTGTTAGCGTAGTTGTAGACGGCTTCTATACGTACGTATGTGGCTACCTAGATGTCGCCAAGGTCAATTGCTAGCTACTTCCCTGATAAAAAAAAATCCCATTAGAGCTTTCACGAAGGTCAGACGCGCGACGCTGTAGTTTCGTTTCATAACGGAGCTGCGTGGCACTGCAGGCTCGTGCAACCAACAATCTGAGATGCACGTACAGAAAGACGTGTCATGTACGTACAGCTCACGAGTATGTCAGTCCTATACGTTGTACGTGTTTTTGCATATGCGAGACGAGATCCTCACGGTAACCGTATGTATGACCGCCGGCGGGCACCTACGTATTTATCACACGTGCATGCCGCTTGTTGTTCAACGAAAGTGAGGTCAGTGTAGTATAGATTGCATGGGTTGGCAAGTACGCGCGTACGTACTGTGTACATCATTATTATTAACCAGTGTCTGTGTGTGCCCTTTATACGTATCCAAGGACGTGGCAGGGGAATGGACCCACAAGCTCGCTCGCGTAATGCGTCTTGTTATACTGTGTTTTTTTTATTGCAGAAGAGAAAAAAAATACAAGCTTGCTCGCTCCCGTCCCGTATTACCAGCGGACACGGACACGGATTCACGAACACACGGGTGGTGAGTGGTGACTGTGTGTAGCGTCGTCGCACCCGGCGCGGGCGGAGCCAAGTGGAAGTGGACACGCGCGGAGGCACCAGCACCACTGCACCAGTCACCACCACGCGCTGCGCGAGCTGAGGCAATGAAGGGCTCCGCCGCCCGGATGAGGTGCGCGGCTGCGCGCAGACGGCCGGGTGGGACGAACGGGGACGACGGATCAACTGCAGGACAGCAGGAGGATCAGCGAGTCTACACGCACACATGCCGCAACCGCATGCCCGCTTAGGGCACGTACAACGGCGTGCTGGGCCGTCGTCTCCGAGCTGCGAATTTTGCGGAACCAAAACCCCCCCTAGTCGCTACAGTAAATGAGGAGAGACAACGAAGTCGTCGCGTGGTGAGACGACAGCAAGCGCTCGTGTTCCTAGGCGAAGAAGATGGCTGGCCGCGCGTTGTACGGAGCCGCCGTCTCCCATCGACGCCGCACGGATCCTGCTGCGCGCACTGGGTGAAGATTGTGTGCCAAATCTTCCGCCATATATGTTTCGTCTTTGCTATTTTCCCCCGCCTCGACAGTCTCCGCCGCCCTTGCGCTCCTTCACCGGGAGCCGCCCCTTCCCTCGCGGCGATGTCTACCAAGATGTCATTGGTTTCAAAGAGGAAGGCTACGATTCCTTCGAAGAATAAGGCGACGGCAGTGGCAGCGGCGGCGGCGGGCGGCGGCGGCTGCGAGTAGAGTTCCTCGTGGAAGCGGCTCGGCCCCAGCACCCAACCTCGCCGGTCTCAGCAACGGCGCGACAGCGGCATTCGTCGGGTTGCAAAAGCAGCTCGTCCCGAGCACCCAACCCTCTATAGGTTCAATTCATCCTCAATCCATGGTAGACGAGGTTTCTCGGTCGGATTTGGCGCAGTTGGCTTTTCACTTGGCAGATGTGGTGGCTCCATCAGTCCAAGTTTCTCTTCGTTTGTATAGAAATGATATTCATAATTGGTCATGGCTATATACAAGCATTAAAGACAACAGTTGTCTGTGAATCGTAAGAACTGTCTATTTAAATGAGCAGATGTCAGCCTATTCGTTTGGATGTGGCTTATCGTAAACGATCGTAAATTTTTAACCGAAACAGTATTTTTCTCTCACACAAATTAGCCAACCATACTTCTTCATAAACCAGCAACGAAATAGCTGCCAACCGAACAGGCTATGTGTCATGATTGCACATGCCCTTACATACTCGAACGCAGCAGCAGGCTAGCAGCGGTCGTGCAAAACAGCAAAAGGCACGACAAACAAAGCTAGGGCCGTGTATAGATTACCTCAAAATTCTAAGTTTTTTCATTCTCTCTATCACATCAATTTTTAGACGTATGCATGGAGTATTAAATATAGATAAAAAAATAACTAATTATACAGTTTGGTTGTAAATCACGAGACGAATCTTTTGAGCTTAGTTAGTTCATGATCGAACGAAATTTGTCAAATACAAACGAAACATGCTACAGTGTCCGATCTAAACCAGGCCTAGGCATGGCTGCAATGTAGGGTCCGAGCGGCATGATCGATCCAGAGCTGCAGAACAAACAGAGATTCGTTTTAGGGGGTGTTTGGTTCCTATAAGAAAATTTTAGTCCCTGTCCTATCGGATGTTTGGACACATGCATGAAGTATTAAATATAGACAAAAAAATAACTAATTGCACAGATTGTGACTAATTTGCGAGACGAATTTTTTAAGCCTAATTAGTCCATGATTTGACAATGTTGTGCTACAGTAAATATGTGCTAATGGAGGATTAATTAAGCTTAATAAATTCGTCTCATAAATTAGCCTTCATCTATGTAATTAGTTTTATAATTAACTCATATTTAGTTCTCCAAAATAGCATCCGAACGTCCAATGTAACATGGACTAAAATTTAGTCCAGGAAACCAAACACCCCCTTAATTTCTGACACTGGCGGGGATGGTGATGGTGTGCAGCTGGATGCATGCATGGCGGTGATATACCATCCATCGTTCGATCTCAACGCTGTACAGAAACGGTTGTTTTTTTTCCTCTTAGGTTATTGCAAATGTTCATGCATCCCATGCATGGCTACAGAGTAAGATGGAGGCAACGACTCCGTTGCGTTTCGAGATTTGAGACAAGTTAATTTTTTTTCGTTCTCCAAATCTGATTTTTTTTTGCGAGACCCACTTCCATGCGCAGACAATTACATATACGAGCGCACACTCACCCTTATAAACGTTGAAAGATCATTGTTTGGTTTTGATAATTTAGTGACAACCTTAGATGGACTAATATATGTTTGAGTGAGATACACATGTGATTAGTCCATAATTACATCATGTGTGAGCAACCTATGCCATAGAGGTGAAATAGCTTGGATATGTTGTAAGACTCACACATGTGATAAAGGAACTCATTGCTTATGAGACATGACATGGAGTCATGTGACTAAGATAGAGAAGATCAAGACAAGATTTAGCTTGATGGACCGGTTGCAAGCGTGAAGGGCAAGTTGAAAGCTTTGGAGCGATGGACCGCGTGGCGGTGAAGCTTGAGCAAGACTTGACGCCGATGGACGAAGGCAACGGTGAAAAACAAGTGGGGTCAAGATTGATGAACCAACAAGGTCATGTGATGATATGAAGTGGATCATATCATTTGTCGATCGAGGTTGGTGCATGTGTTGTATCAACATTGGAGGAGATGAAATAGAATGCGCAAGGCAAATGTATAATATATAGGGCATTTTATTTCACCGGTCATAGGTGTGTAGAGAAGTTTATGACCGAATTTAGGATAGATGGTCGTACTATCAAGAGAGACAAACTTATTTACATATCGGTCATCTAGTGCCACTCGAGTGATATAACTTTACATCATTGCTAGGATCGAGTGGCGTGGTGAATTGAGTGCTAATCCTTTGATAAAATATTTGTAAAAAGCTAACACACATACACACGATGGTGTACGTTTGGTGGCGTTGGCATATTTACAAATGAGAAGTTATTGGAGTTGATTTGGATCAACTTGGTGAAGTTGACGAAGAAAAGGAGAAGAAAACAGCAAGTTTGGATTGTCCGAGGGTCAAAAAAATGCAACCAAACTTGTACCCAACGCACAGCCCTTCCTGGGGTGGCACCACCCTTTCCGGTGTGCACCGGACTGCCTAGGGCGGTGGCACCGCCACCCCCTGTGGCTTGCCCAAAAACAACAGCAGCACCATTTCGTTTTTCGGGCATAACTCCTAACTCCGAACTTTGATTTTGATGATTTAGAACTTTTTCGAAAGTTAATGAAATGCTCTACAAGTCTGAAGTAGTGGATCTCAATTTGGAGCAAGTCAAGGTTACTGGACTGTCCGGTGACCATGGCGGTGTGGCACCGCCACTTTTTCCAGAGAGAGGGGAACTTCGTCGGGGGGCACCGCCACCCTTAGGGCGGTGCACCGCCCCCTATGTCCGGTGCTAGGGTCCCAACGGCTAGTTTGAAATAGCCGTTGCAATTCAACAGTTGGGCACCGCCACCCTATATCCGGTGCTCGCACGTTGCTGTCCGATGACCGCGTCAGAAATGTGCTCCATGGCTCCAACGGCT